CCCGCCTAGGGGGCTGCACGTGCTAACGTGATTTTTTGCCAAACTTGTGTTCCCCTCGAAAACAAAATCGACGGGTCTGAGCGTTTTTCAAAAAAAAAACTGGGCTGCCAGTAAATGCGTCTGTTTCGTTTCCGATGCACCACCCTGTATGTTGTTTGCCTGTAATTTTTGTGGATAACTCTTCTAGATATCGTTTTTAACAACAATGCAATGAACCGATGCAACACTAAAAACTCACGTTGTATATTAGAAACACTCGTCCTTTTTGTATCATCAGGACTAGAAAAGGTGAGAGAGAGAGAGAGATTACATTCTATCGACATTTACGACTATTTCTAAGGTAAGCACAGAAAACAACAAAACTGATAGATACTCTTCTCAAAAGCCCTGAGTCCTTGGATAGCAATCGTCCCATACTTTCAATAACCATATCACGAAACTTTCTTGTCCCGAACCTCGTTAACACGGCCGCATCAGTATCGCGCCCATTGCTCTCCGTTTCCCATTGGTCGTCGCTCTGAGCGTCGGCCAATCACGGCACAGGCAGTGCCGCGACGCCGGTCGCCACAGCGTCGTGCGGAAATCGGAAAATCAGTTAGCGTGGAACCATCGGGGTGAAAATACGTCTTTTCGCCCTTATGGAGCTTGTCGCACGTGTTCTAGACTGAGATTCGTAGTGCTCGGGATTTGAGATGTTGGGGCAACAGACAGGACTGGTGATGGGGAGTAGTGCCAATACGGGTGTGAGGTATCTGGTGTTGGTCATGTGCAGCTTCTTCGTCTACGGTGAGTCGAACAGATTCTAGTTCACAAAATATTAGGCGTAGAACTGGACGTCAAAATGAGATTTACAAAAAATCTGACAGGAAAAACCTATGCACGCTTACGCAGCCTTTATTCAAACACGTATCTGTTAAACTTCAGAATGAGGAAAAAGCCTTGCGACACCTTGGTTCTGTCTATCTTCCTGCCTTCGCTTCATATTCGTCATCAGAAAATTCGACCATGTATCCTATAAGTATGCAGAGTTGAAATGATCGCATTTCATAAGATAGTCAACAAAATGTGACCATATCGTTAATCCAGAATATGTTACCAGCTGGTTAATTGTTCTTTGAGTACGACAAACGTTTTTTTTTTTGAAACTAGTAACTTCAGGAAATAACAACAAAGTAATCACGAAAAAACAATCTAAAATACTTAAAATCGCACAACGTGTCGAAATAAATTTTTTGCATATATTAGATATCAAAAATTAAGCTATTACCTCATGTGGTCACCCTACTCTTCTTCAGTTGATGTATAACCTAAAAATGTAATAGAAATTAAGATGGTTTACATTTCACATACGTAGAATAATTTAGAAGTTCAATAGACAAACACAATATTCCACTTGGCTCAGTATTTTAACTCCAAATAATCAAATGATAACGTAATTCAGGAGTGATGTACTAACCTGTGAAACACGTTCCGCGCTCGACGGCTTTTTGACCTTTTGATTATTTAGTAACGTATTACTAGAATTTCTTAGTAACGTATTACTAGAATTTCCGGTTCCGATAACAACTTTGTTATTAACGACCCCCATGTTAAAATGTGAACAAAGAGCTCCCAGCACCTGTATTGGTAATTAATTCAATTATTTTACGATTTGATCAAACATGTTTACCATTTCATGAAATAACCGCGCGATTAATTGATCATATCGATGAACGATAATCTGACCAACGCACATGATCTGACCCGTGAATAATAATAAATTTCATGAAATGATCGAGCATTGGTCTTCAATCTTGCGAAGCATTGATCAGGTCAAGCAGTTAGAGTTCGAATTCACCTTCTGTAGGTCCCCATTTCCTTTCTCTGATTCCTCCAAAGAAAACTTAAGACATGCAGGGACCATGGAAAGGCCGGAATATAAAATATGGACGATTCTTATTCTTTTACTGGATCGATTTTCAAAACCTATAAGGCCGTTTCATCCTTAGCATAGTAGCAACATTGTGTCAGAGCTTCATCAAAATCAGAGTTACAGAGGGACCAAGGGTTGGGTGACCGACGGGTTTGATTGACAATTTTTCACGATTACAATACTTTCTCGCCAGTTGGCGTACGTAATTCGTAGAATTTTTACACCTGAAAATATTATTTCACTCCCTACTCATAAACGATGGAAGCATTGTGACTAATTGTAATAACTTTTTTCGATGCCTAACAGGAGTCACGGAAATGCATGAAATTAATTTTCGTCGGACTGTATGTCTGTCGGTCAGTCTGTCTATTACACGTAATTTGATAGAGACCGATAAAACCACGATTTAATAAAATTTGAGATTTGAACATGGGCTCAATTTTTTATTTTTATTATTTATCGTTCCCCCAACATGACCTTAGCAAAAGTTTTCTAGTTTACGAAATATTGCCACTCTTAAGCTTTGTCAAAAAATCCCTACTTTTGCTCGTTTTTTGCCTATTGTGGCTACAAAGAAATTGTAACCTACGATTTCATTAAAAACTAGTACGGTATGCTGAAAAAAATACTACATTTGGTTTCAACACCTTTACTAAAGTTTGATTAAATACTGTGAAAAAAATATACCAGACTGAATCAGCAAATAACATTAAAAACTAGCTAATTAGTGCTCTTTCAAAAATAGTATAATATTTGTAGTTTCTTTTAATTAAAAACTGAATAATTCCAACTTTTGTCATTGAAGTTGTAATACTTGCGAAATACTACAAATAGAAGTGTCAATCTACCTAGATGTCACTCTGGCGTGATATTTCTGGGAACCCTGTATACAGCCTTCGGTGATGTTAAACTAGTAAAAGTGTGTCATCCAAGTCATCTTGTCATTTATTGTCATGTCACCATTTCTGATCTTCCCCACGAATGCACCACTTCTGAGATCACGTAAGAAACCCAAAGATTTTGTATATAACACCGAATGTCCATTCTGCCTCTGTAGATTGAAAACATTCTCTAAATCTAAATGTCTTCATGGATTTTGTACGACTTGCGTTGAAACATACCGTCTAAGATATTCAAAAAACTTGTGCCCGTTGTGTAGGAAGCCTCTGATAAACTTGAGAAGTTGTGAATCCTTAGAAGAGAATGCTTGCAGAAATTGGTTTGACGTAACATCTAATTTACGGGTGATTGCAAGAGAATATACCGTTATAGACTGCTGTTTTGAGAAGGTAGTGTTTTACCTATTGTGGGTGGTATGTCCATGTTTGAATTTCGTTTTTTGAGATGACAAACTACAATAAAATGTTATAACACTTGATTGTGAGATATTCGAATTAACTTTAGTCCATGATGCATCCGCCAAACAATCTTTGTGTAAATGAAATGTTTGTGAAATTTACTTACGGGATGTAAGAAGGAAAATGAGTCCAAATCCAAAATAGAACATTGTCAAATTGAAGCAAGATAATGTATTATTTTTGAAACTAACTGCATGTGATCAGTATTCGTGGAAATATGAATGAACACATAGAGTTCGTGTGAGTATAGATCCGCAAATGTTCACATACATCAAGGAAATGTTTAAATATAGCATATTTAAAAAGCTCTAAAGGTGTGAGTTACATTTGACATTCAAACCAATTTTTGTTTGAGAAGATCTGAGAAATATGTTTAGATGAAGCATAATCAGTCAGTTGGTGAGCGTAGAAAGATAGTAAGTACATCACATTATGTAGGTTGAGAAGTGAGTCCAGCACTGTGAGTGATCAGTTACGGCCTTCCCAAACGACATAAATATATATATGTATTTTAACTACTGACACTGTATGTCACTATATTCGAATTGATGAAATTTGACTATTTTTATTTTGTAGCGTGACTTAACCTTACCTATTCGCTATGTGCGTGACGACAGTGCTGCCTAGTGACTATACTTATTCGAGACTCGGGACCTGTCAATTCTTGGCAACCAGATGCTTTGATAACAATTTTCGGCTAGTTTTTCGATGAAATTAAATGAAACCAAATGAAAGTACTCGAGAATGTTGTGGTGCATGTTAAACTAAGCAATTTGCATACTCTTACAGTAAAAGAATGTGACAATACGTACTTCTTCGGTATTGGAATAATCCATCTAAAATACAGGAGTTTATTGAATTAGTAATATAAGTGATGATTTTATGAGACACGGTAAGATTATTTCAAGATTTATACCATCAATACCATATCGAGCGATTTCAACACACTCAAAAATAGTTCTGACGTAAATACTCGTGTTGCTATAGTAGTAATCCAAAGTGTCATAGTCTATTGATGAGCTGGCCCAAGATATCTGAAAAAATTGTTATTTATACATCCGGATTATCTAGCTGATCGGGAATACAACTTTTTTTGCTGCTAATATTTAAATTTATTACTTTTTTCAAAGCACTTCGGTTTAATTGGTATTTCCATCCACACAGTATTTCAAATAATTTTCGATATATATGGCTATATCCGTTTGAGTTTTCATTTGTTTATAGTTCCCAATTGGCAGCAGATTTGTTCTTCTTCCGGAATTTTTCGCTTTTTTAGCCTAATCATGTGTAGAATACTGAACGTTAACCATGGGGGTTTTTGACTTTAATTTAAATTTCCTTTACAGGAGAAAGCACATCGAGAATATTCAATAGTAATTCATTTAAGACTAAAATCTTTTCCTCGATATTTGGTAAATAGATCAACATCAAGTAGAAATTTCCAAAAACTCATTGAGCAAGTCTTCATCCAGATTATTTTGATGTTAGTATGAACACTCTATAGTAGCAATAAAACATCTACCAATATCATACTGGGTTATGTTGCTTACTTCTTCCCCTTTACAGCAGCTAGTCGTTTATTTCTTTGCTCTAATTTTCATGTTGCTGTACGAAATTTGATACTTGCGTAAAAGTGCTCTATCAACCTAGATATGCAATGAACTACGAGGGATGTCTTTTAAGTTTTGCACATGGAAATTAAACAACACGGTGTTTAGTTTTAAATGACTTTATTGTTTTTCGAAGTACTCTCCACGAAGATATACACACATCTGCATGCGCTCGAACCAATTTTCGAAGCACTTATTCCACTCGTTTGCTGGCAGATCCAAAACGGCATTTTTGAATGCGTCAACTGCTTCTTCTGGTGACTGGAACCCTTGACCACGCAGTATGTTTTTAATTTTCGGGAAAGTAAAGAAATCGTTAGGACTTAGATCAGGACTATATGGAGGATGGTCTAATAATTCCACGTTTTCTTCCGTTAAATACTGCCTTGTTTTTTGGGCTGTGTGCGAGTTTGCATTGTCTTGGTGGAGGATGATTCTTCTTTCGGAGTTGATTTTTCGAAGCTCGGTGATGACTTTTGGCAAAAAAATGGTGGTATACCAATCCGCAGTAACAGTTCTTTGCTCATTAACAGGAATTGTTGCAATATGACCCGCTTTTGACTCAAATGCCGCGACCATCTTTTTCGAAACACTTCGAGAACGGATGACTTTTGTTGGCTTTTCTTCACCTTGGAACACCCAAACAGCCGACTGTCGTTTATTTTCTGGTACATTATAGTAAATCCACGATTCATCACCACTAACAATGCTGTACACATTTTTTGAGTTTCCGGAATTGAAACGGTCTAGCGTTTTTTGACACCAATTAACCCTGGCTGCTTTCTGCTCTTCAGTCAATAGGTAGGGTATCCAACGGGAAACTAATTTTCTCACTCCTAATTCTTCATGTAAAATTTTTTGAATTGAGGTCTTTGAGATTTTCAAGGACGCCTCAATCTCGCGATATGTCACATGTCTATTTTCAATGATGAGTTTGCGCACAGCATCGACGTTTTCCTGGGTGATTGCCGTTTTTGGTGCACCCACCCTGGGATCGTCGCTAAGACTCACCCGTCCACGTTTGAATTCTCCATACCAACGGGAAATTGTCGACTCATGTGGCGCGTCGTTGCCGAAAATAGACAATAACTCAGCAAGGCATTGTTGTTGCGATAATTGTTGTAATAAATTATGGCGAGAAAATGTTCTCGGTTGAGCTCCCTTTTTCTAATGACTTGGTGACACTTAAAAATTCACTGTAGTGAGAATACTGCACGTATTGTTGTGAAACTTTGATTTTAAGTTTACTAAAGAGTGAGGTTAAGATTCAGTACTGACGTTCGATCCTCGCCGCCTACTAGGTTTCTATATGCAAAACTTAAAAGACATCCCCCGTATTTTCCCGTTATTTTTACAGTTTACAACTGGGATCCTTTTCGAGAATTTAAATGTTTTCACATAAAAAAATTTATCAAATTTACATCTGTCAGTCCCGAGTAATTTCACATGTTTACTACATCAAGCGTTTCGAGCGACTTGACGGCCCCAACCACCCCATTTTACGTAGCGAATTTGTAAATCAGCGATCTTACCGCTAAATACGTAAATATGGATTCTACAGATATTTTGAAACATCGATCTCACAAACCAAAACGACTTCTATTCATCGTCTGTTAAGACAGTCAGTAAGATCTTTGTTCTTGGTTAAAGTACCATAGGTCTGTCTTAGTCTTGCCTAAGAAGAGAAGTACGAACAGGGTGTAAGGCTATAGGTTAACCCCCTCCAACTGTTTTATATGATTTTCTAGAAGAAAAGGTTGTGTTTAAAAGTTTTTCATGTAATACTTTTTTGTATCAGAAAGGTGCTGTCGAATGAAGTTGTATTTTTCCAAATATTGATATATGATTTTATAACATATTTTTGATATTTTAGTCAAAAACTTGAAGTATGTGTGTCACTTAATCACATACATTCAGGTCCATGTTACACAAACTTTAAGTTTTTTACCAAACTAATCACAGGAGGTATGTCAAACCATATATATTTTGAATTAGAAAAAAGAGACTTTCCCTAAAAATGTATGGGGTGTTCTATTAAAAAAAACAGCTTTATCCGATACACCCGTGTACACAAAAAACATTACATGAATAACTTCATATCAGATCCTATAACTTTTCCTGAAATGGATGTCGTGAAAAGGTAGATAGTATACCGAGGCATTTCCACATCCGGAAATGAGAAGTTATAAATGCATATCTTAGGAATAAACAGGATGATTTATCTAAATATGCCAAATACTTAATATCACATATTTCAATCACTGCTGAACCGATTTTGTTGACATCATGCACAATGATAAAGTTAGGTACCTAGAAGTAACGTAAAACTTTAGCGAACGACTAAAAGCTCCAGGTTCGGACTTAATATTATTCTCACCTTCGCTTTTCTCAAAATCAGCAACTTTTATGCAGAATATTGAAAAGTTTGATTATGCAAAAAAGCCAATATTTGTTGCTAATAAATAAGCAAAATAGATTTTCAGTTAAAAAATTATTCATTCAAATATACTATTTTTAGCAGTTTATGTGAGACAACATTAAAAATTAAGCGAATTCAGCTTAATTTCATCAAAATTTTACAGAGCAATGCTCAAAATTGAACTAGACACGTTCTGGGAACTCAAAATTCTAGGGCCGAAATCAGTTTCTTATTTCCTCGTACTTCATTAAATGTTACGCTCTGTAAGTTATACTCCGAATTCACCATTATTTTGCTGAAAACAGAGCATATAGGATGCAGAATTGCTAAAAATAGGATATTTGGATTAATAAAAAAATTTAACTAAAAAACCAAAGCAGGCGCAATCAATCTATTTTGCCAATTAATTAACACCATTCATTGCCTTTTTTTGTACACAGTCAAGCATTCCAGCATTCAGCTAAAAAAAAGTTGATTTTGACTGAAAAACAAAAAGTTAAAAAGGTGCGGCCCTAGGATTCCCAAAGGCCGTTAAGTGTAACGTTACTCCCAGGTAAGTTTATTATCGACAAAAAGAATTAAAAAAAAGTCGGTCTTGTAACTCCTGAGATATAGTAGAGTATAGTATGTGGTTTTAAAGTGTCTAACTTGGTTTTGATCACCAAAATTAGCGCGATACGAAGCGGATTTGATCTGCGGACTACTGAGGTTCTCAAGAATATGTAGGTACATGATGAGCCCTACCTTATACTCGTATTAATCATTTATCTCGCCTATATTCAGGGTGTCCCACTGCAGCGATTGATTACGCCAAAATTTAAACAATTATTATGAAAACTTGTAGTCGTGGTATAACCGATATGAGAAATTCGGCTAAAATATTTTCATAACGAATATGGAATACCCTGCATACATTTTTGAAATATTTGCAAGATTCTAAATACATTTTTTTTTTTGGCTTTAGGACCTAATCCATGCAGCCAGAAACTAGGTTGTTATATTTTACATTTCTAATTATGGACAAACACACGACGTCACAACATCCATGGCCAAGCCGAGATTCGAACTCGCGGCCCGGCCGACCGGCTGATCAGTAGCACGACACTCTGACCCACGCGGCCAACCGAGGTCCCCTAAATACATTTCATGTATAACATCATATACTTAACTCTAATCGTGTTTAAGAAATATCAAATTGTTGCAAAAAATCACAAACGGTCCATTGATACCTATAATTTTTTTGTATATTTTTGTTCTTGTCGAACGATTTGTAACTGGTTCCTTATAGAAGGGGGTCCAAACAAATGAAAACCCCCTGTTTTTATAATCTCATCATCTTAAGCAATAAAAATAAGGGCAGTTTCGTATAAGATTACCTACTTCGCATGTTAGTAGTTTAGGGAATATTTGCAAGTCCGTCTATACCGCATTTCAAACATAATTTTAGGCATTTGTTATAAGTAAGACTTTCCTCACGAATAATAAACAAAATTTTTAATAACGGATGTTACTTGATTAACGCATAAAGAGGATAAGGTGCATCCGCGGGTATAGTCTAGTTCTAGTACAATATAAACTAAAATTTTAAATCTTATAGATATACGTCTTCCGTTATGTTTGATATGGTAAAAATATTTTAGTTTGTACAATCCTAAATTTGTTTCAGCTAGTAAAATTGGTGTATTGCTTTACGTTATTCATGCTGTACGTACAGAAGTGCGGATCAAAACCGTTATCCGTGCCCTAGACATTTTTTCTCAAATTTACAAATACTTCTCTCGATAAGGAGACATTCTAAAACTGATGTTTATAGAAACATGTCATGTATCATTTCTGAACTAGATACTCCTCGCTGTTATTTGAATGACTTTGCTTAGTTTAGCACATAATTTATTAAATCAAAGTCGAGTACAGAATCCACAACTCAAGCTCCTCTATTATTTGCTATTTCAATTCACCTGTTGAAATTTGGGCAGAGTCACGTACTGGCACAATGAACAAAGCTGGTCGAAATCAATATCAATTAAAAGTAATGTAACCCTTCTAAATATATTGTTCTCCAATAAATTATAACGAACCTAACCACATCAGAGTAACATGTAACCAGCACTGAGGAATGAGGTTAAAACCTTTGAAGTGGGAACAAGCACATCAATTATCTTGTGACCTTAAACATCATTGTCAGTATTGTTTATAGTACGGAGGTTATCGGGCGATTATGACCGAAACCTTGCACTTCAGTCAGACGTAGTGCAACTTTGCACACAGGTAGTACACGGAAAATATTACAATTAAGATGTGCTGCCCGATTAAGGGAGCGATCAAAGTGCGTATACAGGATGATTAAGAATAAATGGACACATGCTGTATATCGTGAAGCACACGTTGTTGAATAAAAGTATTTAGGCCAAGAGTGACCATTAGAAAACGCTCTGAACTAGCTATCAGTTTCTAAAATGGCCGCTAGGTGCGTAAATCTAACCTCAATATACAAAATTGCATTTTTCTCAAAATTAACATTCATTTAAATCATATTTTCTGGTTAGAATGGAAAATTTGGGAACTTTCTACAGAGTGTTAATAAAGTACGTGGAGAAACTTTAACCATCGAATCCTTGGTGAATTTGAAGACGAAATTTCCATATGAACATGGGTCCGCAACGGCTTTGTTTTCAAGCCAGCGCATCTTAGCACCAAAAGAAATGATGATATTGTTCTAAAAAATTATAAAAGAATGGAACGTATTTTATTTTAGTTAAGTATGCCCTGTGGTGAATATCATATGATTTACAGTTGTTTTTAGACCCTCCTAGTACATAGGTACGGATAATGTTATCCAGAATTTTTTGAAAAAGTAGCATGACATTGATTTGTTTTGGTCGCAATATTTTAATATTTAAGCATTGCGCTCATCTAGACACCTATGACGTACCCGAAAACAATTGATTTAATTTATTTTCTCAAATAATTCGACAGCTGTCAAATATTTGTTTTCTTGTCTGGTCATTCTAAGACTCCAAATATTTCTAAGTTTTAGTGATTACTAATTGCCATAAATGTCCAGTTCAGTAATCAAGAAATGACAGATACGCATTTTGTTTACGGAATGGCTCTGGGTAACGCTCGACAAGCACGACGTTTCTATTGTGATCGATTTCCACAACGCCCGCTGCCTAATGTACAAACTTTCTTCAACATTCACGCTCGACTATGTGAAAAAGGCAGTATCAAGAGATCTACATATGTTGCAGGAAGATCCGCAAATGTAAGAACCATCCAAATCAAAGAAGCTGTGCTTAATAAAATCGAAGAGGACCCTAAAAGAAGTACACGAAAAATTGCGCACCAGCTAAATTTAAATCATGTAACGGTATGGCAAGTTTAGACCGATCAGCAACTTTATCCATATCATATACAACGTGTACAAGCGCTTTGGCCTCGGGATTTGCCTATCAGAGTTGATTTTTGCAACTGGCTACGTGAAAAAGCAACACTAAATCAAAATAAATCGAATACTATTCACGGATGAAGCATGATTTTTCGCGGACAGCAATGATAAATTTCCATAATAACCATGTATGGTGTGAAGAAAATCCCCATGCCATAATTGAACATATTACGCAACACGACTTTTCCTTCAATATTTAGTATATACTAGTTAGTGACCACTTGATTGGCCATCATTTCCTTTTCTCCAGACCTAGATAATAATTATCCAAATCGATTTATTAGAAGAGGCGGACCACATCCATGGCCATCTAGATCGCCTGACATGAATCCTATCGATTTATTTTTATGGGGACATTTGAAATCATTAGTATACAAGACTCCTTTTCGAAGCGTGGACGGCTTAAGAGTCAGAATTGTCGTATACAAAATATTCCGGGTATTTTCAGGAGAGTTCGTCAGTCAATATGCAAAAGACTAGATGCCTGTACTGAAGTCGAAGGTGGTCACTTTGCACATTTATTGTAAAAAAGCTATTCGATATTTTCTATTGTCGTTCTATTCGAATGTTGATTTTCAAAACTATTGACCTAAATCATTTTTTTTTTCCAAAAATATAGGATAATACTATTTCCATTCACGGTCATATTGAGCCTCAGCAACTTGTAAGATGTGCAAAATTTATCATAGGTTTTACCAACTGTTCAATAAATACGTTTCATTATCCATAGAAATGTTTGGAACATTACTCGTATTTCTTTAGTGATAGTGTTCTAGGTCGAAAAGAAAGCCGTTACGGACCCATGTTCATATCAACATTTAGTCTTCAAATTAACCAAGGATTCGATGGTTAAAGTTTTTCTACATACTTTATTAACACCCTGTATATACATATTTTTTTTTTGTTTTCTTTAGTGTGGAAATGCATGTTTGGAAAATGTAACTTCTTTCTGTCACCATCGATTTCCATCTTTGTTTTATTTGGATGAAATTGATGACATTTTCGATAACTGTTAGGTCAGATCTGCGGAGTTCTTTTTTTAGCCGCTGGGGTCGTAGTAATAACGTCAAAACAGGATACTCGTTTTTTCATTTTTCTGATCAATATTATACAGGGTGTTTCAGTTTATTGTTGCATAACTTTAAGATTCGATAGAACTTTTAAAATTAATGCATAAAGTCTATATAAACATGGGTCGAAAAATGCGTGGCTTCCGAAATACAGGGTGTTTAAATTTACTTTTTAAAATAGTTTTTTTAAATATTTCCAACAATATTTGATGTATACCTAACAGTGAAAATTGGTATACAAGGGTTTTTTGGTATGAAAAAACGAACCACGGACATAGTTTTACTGTAGCCGCTAGAGGTCGCTCTCTACTGTACCTGCAGTGTATTTAAATGACCGAAACATTTTTC